TTCCATGTGATGTTTGTGGACAAAAATTCACCCGAAAGTCATATAAAGACTCCCACACGAGAATGCACACTGGAGATAAACCATTTCCATGTGATGTTTGTGGACAAAGATTCACCCGAAAATCATATAAAGACTCCCACATGAGAATCCACACTGGAAACAAACCGTTCCCTTGTAAAATCTGCGGTAAGAGATTTAACCAAAAATATAGTTTGGACAGACACATGAGAAGCCACACAGGAGAAAAACCATTCCATTGTGATGTCTGTGGACAAAAATTTATCCAAAATTCGCATAAAAACTCCCACATGAGGATCCACACTGGAGACAAACCGTTCCCTTGTAAAATCTGCGGTAAGAGATTTAACCAAAAATATAGTTTGGACAGACACATGAGAGTCCACACAGGAGAAAAACCATTCCCTTGTGATGTCTGTGGACAAAAATTTATCCAAAATTCGCATAAAAACTCCCACATGAGGATCCACACTGGAGACAAACCGTTCCCTTGTGAACTTTGCGGTCAGAGGTTTAGCCAAAAATTTAGTTTAAACACACACATGAGAATTCATAAGGGAGAAAAAACATTCCTTTGTGATGTTTGTGGACAAAGGTTTAGACATAAGTCAAGTGTAACATGCCACATGAGAATCCACGCTGGAGACAAACCATTTCCTTGTGATGTTTGTGGGCAAAGATTTACACAAAAGTCAAGTTTGAACTCGCACATGTGGATCCACACACGAGACAACCCATTTTCTTGTYATTTTTGTGGACAAATATTTAGACAAAAGTCACATTTAAACTCCCACATGAGAATTCACACAGGAGAAAAGTGTTTAGCTGTAGAAAACACAACAGCTCCTAAAGATCCACATGAGGTCACACAAAACTGAACACACACAGTTCCAATGTTTATTTAATAGTTTATGTAGTGAGAAAATACGATCTGAGATGTCATTTACTGTTTTATGTATTTTGTAAATTTTTAAATATGGCTGACTGYTATGTCACATGTAGATCAGATTGTTTTGCATTATGTAATGTCAAAAAGTATGAAGTATAGTTTTTAGTCCTATTTTATAACTGACTGTAAATAATTCAGTAGGAATTCAGCTTTTTTCAGCTTTTTTAAATGCATCGTAGTCCCTCCCACTCCCAGCTTGAAGACCCGCCCCCTTCACTGCTCGTCTACCAAACTGTCTGAATTTGTGTTTCAGAGAAAGGACAACAGCAGCTGACAGAGAAGGATTGGTTCAAAAGAGGGATAAAATGCAGATGGAATAGAGTTAATTTGCCATAAAAACTTTTGTTCTTTTATTTTACATTGTTCTGTTTTAATAGTATCTGAGATATCAGTATCAGCCAGTGTGTCTAACTTATTATCAATTAGTAAACATTTTAGTTTGAATTTGGAGATCTTAATATGAAACCGTGTCCATAAACTTTCTAAGTGCTGTAAGAATTATTTACTTATATTTGTAACAAAGTTGTAGTTAGCAATGTAATCAAAATAATAAATATTATAAAAAATAAAATAACTGTATTGTGAAGACGGTGTTATTTTTTATCATCTTTTTTAACTATGCGTTTTTTAAGTATTTGCTGTTCTGACATTTTTACTCTTAGTATTCCTTAAATGGGGTTTATCAACTCCATCTGACCTGAAACAAATGCAGCTGAACTGTATTTTACGCGACAGTTTAAAATGTGTTGACATTTTGAAGTCACATAAACAATACGGCATTAACGAGGGCAGCTAAGCGCTGTCAGGACCCCTCACCGCTAATGTWGCTAACTACAGGTACCTACCGCACGTCTGTCGGAAGAAAATAAACCTCAAATATATGTTTATTCATTCATCTAACCCAGCGGAATTGTTTGCATAACTTGTAAGATCATTTTATTGGTTTTAATAGTTTTTTATGTTAAAGTTAGTCTAACGTGGCGTCACTTAAACATGTTGATAAGCTAGCTAGCTTTGTGTTTACATGACTAATGATTTGAGTTTGGAATAAGAGTAATATTTGATAAAAATTCTTACACATTTACCTTTGTTGGTGGCATTGTTACTTAAAACCTTATCCTTATCTGTAGATATATTCACTCAGTGCAACAACACGGGTGATGTGAATGTTAAGTCAGGTCTCAGGTTTTGACCTGAGCTTCGAGTGAGGTTTTGAGCCGCTGAACACTGTCGCCAAAAGTTTTTTTCGGCCGGCCTAAAAGTTGCTAAATAATATCGTCGTCCAATTAGCGTATTTGGACTTTTGCCGACAACTGTGATCAGGGCTGTATGGTAT